GTTTAGTGTGTTGGATAAGGAGGCGCAACAAAAGATTAAAATTTTAAAGTCCCTATCCTGATATAGATCAAACGAACTCGTTTAAGTCAAGGTGTTTAGAAAAGTTACCTTTTAATTCTTTGAAGTTGGTGCATGTTTGGATCTTAGGAGTTGATAATGTAGATCTGCTCCTTTTATCGGTATCCACACAAACATCTCTCTAACTCGAACAGTGTGCTAGCGCTCTCAACATATGTTCTTCTTTGAACATTAATTTTCCTTTCTATAGGGTGTTTCATGGCTCTCAAAGTATTTTTGCCGTCAGAACTTTTCTAACTCTCTCTTCTTTTATAAGGACGTCCCCCTATCTATATATAGTATATAGATAAGGGTTTTCGTCTTTCACTTAAAAGCTCAGGAAAATTTAATTAAATTTATCTCATAAATTTAATCCATAATATCATATCTAATTCAAATTTATCTTCTAAATTCAAATTATAAAACTGACATGATATTCTTTCTTATCATGTTAGTTATTAAATTTAATCTATCATATAAAATCAAATTTAAAACTAACATAATATAATATAATATAATATAATATATATCACATATACATGTTATATTATATATATACGAATCTATACATAAACATATATATTTTGAATATATATATATATATATATTATATTATCTATATTTAATTTTATATATCATATACATATTATATATATATATATATATATATCTGATATATCTATATATCCATACATATATGGATATATATATATATATATATTTTTTTTTTTGAAAATATATATATATATACACACACACACACATATATATATAATTATATTTTAAATTTTATATTTCATATATATATAAATATTTATCAAATAAATATTTAAATATATATATATATATATAATTCATTCACCCTATATTGCATTTATTGAATCTAGATATATTTTAGATTCAACGAACTTGGATATTATAGCTCGAGTTGGGATGTTCTTGTGTGCAACCTTGTAGGCCCATATGAAATTGCCAGTAGGCTAATTACGTTATTAGCCCACAAGTCACAAGTGGCCTTTAGCAAAACATTGCAACTACCTAATTCACATAAGGATCAATGATCCAATGTAACCTATCATGCAACCATATCACATCCATTTTATCACGTAATATTTTGATCAAATACGAGACATGGAATTATCATTCTCCTTTATCTGACCGTTACTTTCTTGATCTCCGAGTAGACTGACAGTAGCAACGAAAAAAACATTCCATTGTAGTGTGGCCATAAATTTTCTCAGTCTTACTTATTGAGGGGCCTAGTAATATCTCTCACTTAATGTGAGGGACAAATTTCATCTTGACCACTCATATTCCTCTGCATGAATATCACTAAACTCAATCATAGCCTTTATGATCACTCGATCAAAGGTGACTTTTGACTAGGTCAAAGTTCAGTGGTCATCATGTAGGAATCCATGATGATCTCAAGTCAAAGGGCTTAGTGATATAATTACATATGAAATAAGCTTATGACTTGTATCATGTAGCTTTCTCATAGCGGGTCGGTCTAGCACCTTGTACTCTATCAAGTGCCTATGGCTTTAATTTGTATCTCTATAATTAATCAAAGTCATACTAGTCTTGTTTCATCTATGATCTCTCAAAGATACTGACCAGGAACATTTAGGACAATCACTATAATTTGTCCAGGGATATAGTTATCAACATGCAATTGTTATGATAACAAAAGAGAAATTCATGAAATAACAATATGCATAGTACAATGATTGGCCCTAGGGCATAATTTTCGACACAGTGGTCATCATGTAGGAATCTATAATGATCTCAGGTCAAAGAGCTTAGTGATATAGTTACATATGAGATAAGCTTATGACTTGTACCATGCAGCTTTCTTATAGTGGGTCGATCCAGCACCTTATACTCTTTCAAGTGCCTATGACTTTAATTTATATCTGTATAATTAATCAAAGTCATACTTTTCTTGTTTCATCTATGATCCCTCAAAGATGACCGACCAAGAACATTTAGGACAATCACTATAGTTTGTCCAGGGATACAGTTATCATATTGAACATGTAATTGTTATGATAACAAAAGAGAAATTCATTAAATAACAATGTGCATAGTACAATGATTAGCTCTAGGGCACAATTTTCAACATTAGGATCATTTGTCATGATTTATACACTACTTGCATGATTTTGTGTATAACTAGTGTATTTTACGCCCTGAGTTAGAGAGTTTTGGTTGCAAACCTATGGATAGGGTCGAAATACTTGCGCAAGTAGAAACATATATATTTTGAGAGAATTGGAATGAAATTGATGATTTTGTGTAACATTTCCTCCCCTTTTTATGTTTTGTGAAAATCAGGGTTGAGTAGTGATTTTGTAATATTAGTGTTTTTGGTTGTATGTGGTGCATTGCATTTCGCAAGAGTCCATTGAGTATAGTCAGATGGTAGATGTGAGCTATTGGGATGTGTGGTTGAGTTGGGATACTCCATTTGCAAAATTCTGTGAAAAGTGGTCAATATGGGTTTTGATGCCCAACTTTTTATAGAAAATGGGTTTAAGTAATCATAACAATAGCTGCACGCTGCAGCACATAGCAGTTGCGCTGCAGTGCAAATGTCTTTTGAGGAACTCGTCCCTCTGTACTATCCGCGGTGTAAGCTGCGCCATGGCGAACGGGCCAAATTTTGGACAATCTTTAGATTGTTTTAAGTGATGTTTGATTTCAATGCTTTTGTTATCTTAATTAATTGATTTTGAACTATAATTTGAACTCAAACAATATTTTTAAAAAGGTTTTCTTAAGATTCCATTGTGTTAAACTAATTATCTTTTAAACTCTTGAATTGTGATAACTTTTAATTGAGATTTTATCTAATCCTGTTTATCATAACAGCGTGTAAGAATGTTATCCTGGTAATATCAAGGTAAACATTACAGACATCATATTTCCTCTACCTTGCTCAAATTAAAGTTCTCCATGTCAAGCGTAAGCCCAACATGATATTCAAATGTTGGGCCTAGACTTTGATCTGTATACTAACACGATCAATCTTCACCAAATGTAATATGATCTATGGGGGGGGGGAGCACAAAATTATCTTTAAAAAATGTTTATTTTATCATAAAAACTGTTAAAATTAATTTCCTCAATCAACTTTCATGTAGTTTTTCATTTTGGTCTCTCCCATGAATTAGTTTCTAGATCCATCCTTATTATACGTTATAAAATATATAAAATTATACAAATTACAAATAGTAAATATAAAATACGTAGCTTATCGTTTTGGGCTCCTGTTAACGCATGAGGCGGCGCCTGGTTTCTCTAAAAAAACGTTAACAGTCCAAAATTTAATCGACACACGGTGAGCAAATGCTTCCTTTTTTTTTTTTTTTTTTTACCAGTAGAGTGAGCAAATGTTTACGTTTAGGCTCAGTGAATGAGAAGTCAATTGTTAAAAGCCCATAACAGTTTGGGCTTAAATAAAAGTTATCTTATTCAAAATTACATTCAACTTTAATGTATTGCTTTCTCGGCCCATTTGCCCAAAAGTGCTTGATCACTACATTTTAATCATCATATAGGAAAATGTGAAAACGCAAAACATGTCTATGAAAGCTAATTATTGTGTAAACAGGCTTGCTCACCAATGGCATCAATTAGATGTTGAAGCCACTTCTGTAGATATTCCTCCTTCGAAATGTAAAAACTTACTTTTAGATTTTTTTTTTTATCAACTACATATAATCAACTAGCTTTCTTTCGCACGTATCACGTTGACTTTTATATTTAAAAAAAAAAATCCAACGCATGAACTACTAAGCTTTCTGGACAAACAAAATTTTAAAAAATAAAAAAAAAAAAGTTACACTTAATTGTGAACCAAATCATATACACCTTATTTTGACAGTATAAATTAAACCAAATTCAAACTCTGATTTGTCACACGTGTCGATTTAGACTATGGGTGGTCTTAAATGGTCATTAATTTTAGTAATTTCAATCCTGCGCATGCCCACTTCAAAGGGATAAAAGAAAAACACACAGTGTGTGTGTTCATTTAAAAAAAAATCAGAAACTTGATTTATTTAATTTGTATAGCCCTTGATGAGATACAAAAATGAAAATTACCTGATGAGATAAAAGGTTTTGGGCCAATTTAGCAATATGTTCTAATAATAGTTTTCTGTCATTCAGAACAAAAAATAAAAAAATTATGTTTAATAACATGTTTTTAAAAAATATTTTAAAAAATAAAAAACAAAATATTATTTTAAGAAATAGAAAAACGAGAATATTTTGTGAATATTCTAAGATTATTGCCCTGTAGAATAAAAAAGAATAAAAAAATATTTATTTTTATTATTTTTTATTTTTAAAATAATAAAATAAAAATAGTTTTAAAGAGGCTTTTAATCTCACAACTATTCTTTGGATACATATACCATTATTTTCATAGGCCACTTATGCATGGAAATATTTTAATTCGATCTTATCCTTATTATTTTACCAACTCATGTACTTATTTTTTTTCCTAGTTGGAAACTTTGGCATATCAAGAAAATAAAGAACCGAAAACTAAACAGAATGTAACTGTTACTGTGGTCTGGTTTCGTTCTCGTCCCCATCCATCACACATTAGCGTATTACTATGGTCTGTGGCTTAGAACTCATTGAATATTCCAAAACCAAATGGAACATTCTAGTGATTGAATCTTTTGGTCTGGGTCAAACCCTAGCTAGTCCTCGATATCTAGTCTATGAAGGATAACATTATTCTTTTCCACATCATCAAAAGACAAAACAAAATACTAAAACATGAGGCCAAGCCCCTGGTTTTACGAAAAGTCAAATTCTTTGCTTTCAAGCATAGCCCACAGTAAACACATCTTGCATAAATTATCAAGTTGGCTAAATCTACCTGTAAGGATACAAAATTCCAAGTTAACGAGCCCTATATATATACTTCAGCACACAGAAATTTAGATCGTGAAAGAAAAAAGGAAAAAAAATAGAGCAATCGATCTTTTTGCAGTTCTAAAAAGCAGCAAGGTTGTTTTCTTTCTATTCGTTTTCGAAGGTTCAGAAATCATTTTTCAAATGGGGCGTTGGATGAAACCAGAGGTATTTAACCTAACCTCTTTTAATCATTGATTAACTTCTTTCTTTAATTCTGATCCATATTAATGGTATTTAAATTTCAAATAATTTGTTAATTATGTACAATTTTTTTAATTTTAAAAATTAAAATACATATATTTAACATTTTTTATTTTAACATGTGTTTTTAACTATTTGATATATTAAAGATTACACTGCATTCATTATTACATGTTAAAGAAATTAAGGTTAAAAGAAAAACTTCACCCATAAATTATAAGTCCAAGAATGTCCAAGATTTTAAACTTATTTTTAGCATAACGTTCTCCTTCAACTTCTTTTTTATTACTTGTAGGTATCCTCTTATTTAAGGCACATTTGAAACACTAAATGTGAGCACCTTTAATAATAACTATTCAATATTATCCCTAACCATTAAAGTTAACTTTAATAATTAGTTGATGAAAAATAATAAAAAAACCTCACAAGTTACAAAAAAAAATCCAAAAATAACAAACAAAAATAAAAAAAAATTATAGAAAAAGATCAAAAAAAAATATCTTGATCCTTTCCTATAATATTTTGGTAAAATAAAGGTCAAAGTTAACATAACTATAGGGGCAATTTTACACTATTTTTAAAAATTAAAGACAAATATTGTACCAAAAATGAGTTTAGATCTAGTCTCCAACACTAGATCTATAATTCAGGAATAAATTTACTATTTAACCCAAGAAGATATAAGGACTAATGGCGACCTTGTTTTGTAGGTGTACCCACTATTAGCGGCAATGACATTTGTGACGAGTATGTGCGTGTTTCAGCTAACAAGGAACATCTTCTTAAACCCTGATGTTAGGTGTGTGTGTGTGTGTGTGTGTGTGTGTGTGTGTGTGTGTGTGTGTGTGTGTATCTTCATTTATTATATTTCGAATCTCCCCACAAAGATATTCTTAATAATGAATCAAATTGATACTTCTTCTTCGTCATCGTCTTCTTCTTGGTTCTGAATTATGTAGGGTTAACAAAGCTCACCGGAGCATGGGGATATTGGAAAATGCAGAGGAGGGAGAAAGGTATGCCGAACATGGCCTGAGGAAATACGTACGAACACGGCCGCCGGAAATCATGCCGGCGATCAACCACTTCTTTAGTGAGAAAGATAACTGATGAAGAATCAATGATCCATATATATGGATCCAGTACTTGCATTCTATTTTGTGTAAAAACTATCAGGTTTAATTTCGAGTTCAATCTCGTTGTGACTTTTGGTCTGGTCTATTGAACCTATGCATCCAAATAACTTAATAGAATATGGAAACGACCATAAAGCTTTTGTCTTTATGTCATACGGTTTCGATGTGAATTTATTCGGTGCTTCGTTTGCTATTTTAGGCCCTTCATATTGTAATTTAGTCGTCGTCATGTTGAACCCCCCGCGCCCCCCGTCGTTCTTTGTAGATTTTTTTTTTTTTTTGCCAGAAGTTGTTTGTAGATTGAAATCATGTTCTTTTATGCATGAGAATGTAAACGTCAACATTTCTTTTCGTTCCGTTCCCCCCGCGCGTGTGTGGAGGATTTAAAGCTATGTAGCATTGGTATTTCAAAAAAGTAAATGTATCCATATTTGATACGTATTCGATACTTGTAAGATACTTTTGTATACATATCCCAGATGCTAACATTTGTGATATAATTTTTTTTTCAATAATTTCTTACTATATCACTTAAGAACTTGAAAAAGCACTTAATATTTTAGTTAGTTAATTACTATAAATATCCTTATATTACTTTAAAAATTCTTATTTAAAAATCAAAATACCTATACTTGTATCATAAAATGTTGAAATATACATTATAAATATCCCCGTATCCGTATCCTAAAATTTTAAAAATTTGCCGTATCCCCGTATCATGCCGTATCGTATCGGATACTCGTACCCGTATCTATGCAACCTAGATTTAAAGTTTTCTCATGATTCACATCTCAAATCATATTTACTAGTGGAAATTATTATTATTATTTAATTTTTAACTCAATCTCTATAATTTTAAATTTAAAAATTAAGGTTCTTAGGATTTTTTAATATAGTATTTGTTGTTGAAATTTTATCAATATTCTATATAATATTGTATTGAATATGTAAGATATATGTTAATCAGATATGCAAAAAGAGATCTTTTTTTTAAAAAAGTATGTAAATAGATTACATAATAAAATTAACATGCATATATGATAAAAATATTTCCAAATTTCTAATAATAAAAATTTAATTAAAAATAATTTATATTGTAGGAATTATATTACAAATTTTTAAAGTTTAAAGACCGATTTTACAATTGAATAAATTATCAAGAAAAAATATATAATTTTTTTAATATTTTAAAATTATAACTGCCCCTACAGTATTGAAAGAGGTTATTCTGGCATAATCATCAAGAACCAATAAAACAAAAATTTAGTTATTCTCTACAAATAGAAATTACCTTTTACCACCTTTGGTTCTTCTAAGAGTTGGGTCATTACTTGAATTTATGGCTTGAAGTAAAACAAAAAAAAGTGTTAATAAATGGACAAATTACCATGATGATGACTACGCTGGCAAGCCCATCTATTTTCAATGTCTTGTTGGCCCCATGAATGAAAACACTGTTAATATTTCAGCCTTATTTTAAAAAGAACATCTTTGGGCCATACCAAACTTTGCAGTCCACATTATGAAAGTAAAAGAGTTTGGACCAGATATGTTTTTTTATCAGATGGGCCGCAAAATTTAGTTCAACCCTAAAGAATTTTAAACAACTAGGAATAGACATACTTTACATGTGTGTGTATGAATTGGGATAAATAAGTGTCACTATTTATAATGTATGAATGGGATATATAATTTGCTATAAATTTTATATTTTATTTTAATATTGATATTAAAACTGACGTTGAATTTAAGTTCAACCACACCACTACATATCTTATCCCATTTCTCTCCACTGAGGAGCTTAAAATGTTCCCATTAGACCGTGAGAACAAAAACTTGTTGAAACAAGTTTGTAAGCACCACATGCATGCAAAAAAGCAAACTATATATGATTTAAGGGATAATGATAAATAGGTTCAAAAGAAATTGATTAATTCAAATTAAGTCTCAAGTTTCAAACTATAGGGGTTTGCAAATTCAGTTCTAAATTTTATAATTTCATTGTCATGAATTAACAACTTATTTTTTAAATTTTAACATAGTTGAAGAATAAATAAATTTGTTTTCTTTGTTAAAATTTAAAAACAAGTTGTAAATTTATCACAACAAAATTGCAAAATTAAAAGTCAAATTTATAAGTTTCTGAAGTTTGATACTTAAAACTTCATTTGAATTAATTAGTTTCTTAGGACCTATCTGTTATTCTTCCATGATTTAACCCACATGTTTTACCTATAATATTTTTGGGCCAAAATCGAGTATTGGGCCGCTGGAGGTAAGCACACATCAACCAAGCCCAATAAAATAGATGAAGCGGCAGAGATTATGTGAAACGATGTATTTCGTACCACCACCATCCCCATAGTGCCTCTCACCTACGATCTGCCACTCCTTGCGATGCGATATGCGATCACGTAAAGCAATTTGCGGCCCATTAAGAGAAGAACAGCTGCTCTAAAGTCTAAATATTGACAACAGTGGTTGTGAATTTGAAAAAGAGCTAATCATCCGACCGCTGTTTTAAGAAGATTGGCACGAGGACTATGGCAACACCCAAACCAAATACTTCAAACAACTCAATCAACACAAAATGCATCAACCCCATGTGAACTTTGTGACTTAGCTTAGCTTAGATCAACCTAGAATTAAATGTTGCTCTTGGTACTTTCCTTTCTAGCATTGTACTTATCCCATTCTCCTTCAATTTAGTTCAATTTCTTAAATGACCTAAGCCCTAAGCCTTGATGATTCAAGAAGATTGAGACAAAGGACCTTGGGAGTCAACAAATGTTTTGATTACGGACCTACTCCTTTGGCACGTAATACATATGAGGTGACACACTCGTTTCACGCCAACATCATCTTAATTTGATTTTTTTATTTTTAATTGAAAGTATATATTATCTGTAATCTATAATTTGTAATTTATAACCTGTAATCAATAATTATTATTTTATTATATCTAATGTTTAAACTTTAATTTAGACCTCTAGTACTCACTCACTCTCCCCGTCTCAATTAGCTTCACATGATTATCAATCTAATAATTCTATAGGGACTCATGCCATGTGAGTAATTCTCTCTCTTATCCTAAATATAAATCACTTTTACTGTCCTTACATGAAGTGGTTTGAGCTAGGAGTACTAGATAATTTAATTTAAAAATAAAAAATTATTAAATAAAAATAATTATACTAGAACTAAAATTGTAATTGCACAAGCAGATTGACCCTATTTTTTAGTTCTGAAAAATTATACTTGACATGATATGGTTTCTATGTAAATATAATTTTCATATCTTATCAAGATCATTATAATAATATGATGTTAAACATTTTTTTTGGATTTGATAAGAAATCTTTTAAATGAATTTCATAATTGTTGTTGTTGATGAATTTACACGTAAGATTTTGATAAAAAGATTGCTAGATGTTTTTGATTTGATGATAGTTCTCACAATTATATTACTTAACTAAAATTATCTAATAGTAACCAATAGGAGTTAAATCTAACATAAGAGGCTAGTCCTTTACAATATAATAGGGAGGTGCCCATATGTAGTGTCAAATCATGTTTTGAATAAAATTGCCTCCAATAAGAGGATATCTATAGGCAATAAAAAAATATCTAATAGTATCACACAAAATCTGTATAATTACACATAGATACAAGTGATCAAAAGCACATAAATAAATTATATATCTCAATCTTCAATAACACAAGAAAACATTATTAACAATTTAGAGAAATTATCGATTATATTTTTTCTTAAAATAAAGAGGGATTTTGTTTAATGACACAATAGGATTGCCAATCTAAATGGCTAATGGAGTTTTTCTTTGGAATGAAAAAAAAAATTACCATGCAAAAGTATGATGCAGTTATGAATGGATTTTATTAAAAACCAAACTAATTTTTTAACAAGTTTTTATTAAAGTTTGAATCTAATAAGTTATTATTAAAATTGTAAAACGCTATTGCCTTCCTCAATAGGGTCCGCCATTGCATATAAATATATTAAGAAAAGGCCACTCTTAATGCATGTATTAAGAAATATAAAGTCCGCCCAAGAAGGGAGGACATGGCTAAATAAATTTTAAAACAAATAATGAAAGAATTAAATAAAAGTTAGGAAAATATTACCAAACTAGGCTGAGTAAAGGAAAGAGAAGCTTTGTACAGATTATTTATCCTAATTTAACTCTAATTACTTAAGCTCATGTCCAGTCTCCAAAATACACTTAAGATTTTTCACTCTTTCCACCAAGATTAAATTGGGTTCTTAGTTTCCATAGTACAATTTAGACTCCTCCTTAAGTTATAACTTCCCTTTTACAAAGGTAATCTTAAATTTACTTAAGCTTCCCGAGCTTAAGTTCTTTTATTTTAAGTGAATAGAATAGAGGTGAACAATGTAAGTTCAATAATTAACTACTACTATTAAAATATCTCTCAAATACAATTAGTGAAGTTCACAAACAATGAATGTCATAGCAAAAAGTAAGTAAATATTGAATCCCTATTATTGTTGGGTATTTCACTTCTCTACATCCACTTTATAAATGAGTTGTATTTATAGTTGATTCTAAAAATAAGTCCATTAGACTTAATAAGTTAGCTGTTAGAGACTTCATGTTCATTCCTTCTAAGTTTCCCAATGAATATAAGGCAATAAAATAATGCTTTTTGCCGAGTTTGTGTGTTATTGGCGACTTAAAGAAAGTAACGACTATATGTATTACATGCTTTGACAAAGGTAAAGAAGGTTGATACTAATAATGCAAATTTGATGCGGGCATGAAAAGAAACTAAAGATTGAATAAGTGTTTAATTTAACCTATGGTTGGTTTAAAAGGTTTCTAGATAGGTAAGAGAATGAACACAACTCATAAGAGCAGAAAAGATTAAAGTTTAAGTGAGATTTGAGTAAGCTTTAGGATGCTTTGTTATGGATCTCAAAAAATAGAGCTAAAGCTATGAGTTCATATTGCAAGGAAGGCCATTCATCATACTGATATGAGTATGAGTGTGATACTGAAGAAAGTTTGAATCTCATACGGGTAGGAAACGATTCATACCAAGATGAAAATCATAAAGCACAATGCTTGAACAGAGTTCATACAAGAGTGAAGTGTTTCATTGGGGTAT